CTAAATAACAAAATAAACATTTCGTATAATTCACAATATTATACCCACCTATAAATAAACATATTTGACAAGGTTTGACTCTTAATCCCGATTTCACAAAATTATTTAACACGATTTCTTTTTTCCCAACATACTTATTAACATCCTACAGAACACTATTCTGAAGAACAAGCTATTTGCTATACAGATGGAGTAATAACTGAAGCTCTACTAAAATATCCATGTTAAAAATTCTGTCCAGAAATATATTCACTATATTTTCCAAATAATTTCTCTAAAAGCACTTGGTTGGACTGCCATTCTCTTAAACCTGCTCCAAACAGGTGGAGGAACCCCTTCCACCTGATAGAAACTGGTCTTGTCAAAGTCATTTCTGACCTCTACATTGCTAAAAAGAAAAAAACAAACTCCACAATGGTCAGTTCTTAGGGATTATTTTACTGGACCTAATGGCAGCATTTCACAAGGTTGATCATTTTCTACTTCTTGATAGACTTTTTTCACCTTCTCCCAAGACACAAAACTCTTAACACATTGGCTATTTCTTCTCATACTCCTTTGTAGAGTCCTCATTTTCTCCTTGTACTTTCAGAATACCTGAGGGCTCAGTTCTTAGATTGCTTCTTTTTATATTTATATAATACTCCCTTGGTGATTTCATTTAGTCTCAAGGTTTAAAAATATCATCTGTATTTTGACAATTCCAAAATATACATTTCCAGCTTAGCTCTCTCTCCAAATTCCGGACATATCTCTCCTCCTTCTCAACATTGTCTCAAAGTTGATATGCCCAAACCAAACTTCTGATCGTCCTTCTTAAATGTCTTTAACCTGTAGCCTTCCTCATCTTAGTTAATGGCAACTATCTTTCTGGTTCTCCATAAATATCAAGCTTGGAATCATCCTGTTCTCCTTTTTCATGCCTATATCCAAACCATAAGCAAATCTTCCTGGCTCTACTTGCAGATTATGTGTGGCGTCCAAACACTTTCTACCACCTCCACTGCTATCATCCTGGTGTACTGTGTGAGCTGCCGCAATTTCTCATTCCGGAATACTGAAATAGCCTAACTGGCGTTCCTATTCTACTGTTGTCTCTCCATAGTCTATTATCAACACAGCTGCTACAATGATCTTTTTTAAATGTACAGAAGGTGAAGTCATTTATTGCTCATAATTCAGCTATCACATCACATTGCAAGGCCAAATTCTATACAAAAGCCAAAAAGCCCTACATAATCTGTCCTGCTCCCTACCCTTACTACCTTTATGAACTCATCTCCAACTACTCTTCCTTGTTCACAGGCCTCAAGCTACACTGGCTTTTTGCTGTTCTTAGAACTTGTCATACATGCTTCCATCTTCCATGCAAACAATTCAAACCTATGCAAATTCACCTTCTCAGTGAGGCCTACACTGACCATCCCTGTTGATAATTTAGCTTGGCCTTCCTGCCCTCCCAGTATTATGATCCTCCTTTGTGCTACATTTTTTTCTGTAGAGTTTATCATCCAACATAGTAATTTACTTATTATGTTTATTGCCTGTCCCCTTCTACTGGAATGTAAGCACTGGCACCCTGTGACATTATAATGAATAACAATAAATAGGACTACACAACAAATTATCTACTGTAAAGAAGTAAAAATAATTTTCCCTCTTCCTTTCCAGGTTGTTGACTGAGATACCTCTTCATCCACCCCGCCATCTTGTAAAAAAAGACAGGTTAACAGGAGAAAAACAAAGAGATGTTTAATAACATATATACCTCCTGTATACATTGGAGATACCCAGGAAAACACAAGTAATTCTCCAAAATAGTTCAAGCTATCACCTCAAATACCATCTCCAGAGAAATACAAAAGATGTTGGGGTTGAGGGAGCCAGTTATGAAAGGTTTTTGGGTAACACACAGTAAAGGTTGTAACAGGGGTTCAAGTCCATGACTTCTCCATTGGTCAGTTTCTAGAGATTTAGTCGTCCTCCTCCTCCTAGTGCAGAGGGAGACACTCTTACAAATGGAGATTTTCCTTACAAATGTAAATGTCTCCTACAAAAGGCAACCTTGGTTTTCAGAGCTTCTCCCTAGTCTAGTTTTTTTATTTTTTTTAGAAAATTAATCAGCCTAATTCTTTTTTTTTTTTTTTAAGATTTTTTAAATGTACTTGAGAGAGAGAGCACAAGAGGGGAGAGGGTCAGAGGGAGAAGCAGACTCCCTGCTGAGCAGGGAGCCCAATACGGGACTCAACCCTGGGACTCCAGGATCATGACCTGAGCTGAAAGCAGTTGCTTAACCAACTGAGCCACCCAGGCACCTGCCTAAGATAATTCTTAAGGCTAAAAGGCATATTTTGAGCTGGCAAATTCTGCTCTTCACTAGATAGTTCCACCATAGAGCAAGGTCTGGAGAAAAGTTGGGGAGGAATTTGAGTTGCAAAGTTGAGATAAGAGAAGAATCTGAATTTTGTAGAAGGGTCAGAGGCCGCAGGGCAGGAACTTATGTACCCCGTATCTACTGTTATCTTTCACGGACTTTGGTTGTAGTTGATGTACACGTAAATTGCTTCATCCACCCTTTCTGACACCATCTTCAGATGGAAAGAAATCTTGGAGAAGCAGATTAGGTAAAACAAGGACCTATGCCTGATTCCCTGATGCAGTATTTCATCAAAAGTCTGGTAATGATAAAATTTTAAATTACCTCCTAGTATTGCAATTATCTACTGAATTATATTTCTTCATCCGGATTGGATGCTGGGGTTCCTCTTCCCTGCTATTAGTTTTCTTTAAATATCTGATATTCCTTGGACATCTTTTATGAAGGACTACATCAAAATGCAGATGCCGTGAAAAGCAAATTTCCTCAGCAATTACCAATGCCTTCATTAGACATCCATTGTGAATAGAAGCTATGCTTCTGTGTAAGTTGTTGGGACATTTCAACTAGCAGGCACCTACAACTGAATATGTGGGGGGCATGCAGAAGCCATTGTTCCCTACACAAACCCAAGTAAGGAGGCTTATTCTGGGATTGGAATGCTGCCATTACTCACCCTCACCATCCCCAAGTGAAAATTCACTTTACCTCCATTCTTTCTATGGCACCTCAATATCCTCCCTAGGGAGCCTCCCTAGGAATAAGATAATCTGTATCTTTGAAGACTTATTCTCTTAGGCTTTACCCTTAGGGTTTACCTATGGGTAAAGCCTAAAAGCTATCTCAGTAACAGTTTAGCTGGAAGAAAGAAGGTGGGGGGGGGTGACCCAATGCAATTTTTAATGAATTAGCACGATTGAGGATTGACCCATTCCTTCTCTTTGTCTCCTCCCATCCCTACCCACCCAAATCTGAGCCTTAAAACTTCTCCAGGATACCTTGGCTGTGATTATTTGATTTTTCTCTCAATCCAATTCGTTCTGCTTTATACCTTCCTGGACTATCTCAAAACTCCTCTTGTTTTCCAAGCATTTTTATGGCTTCACTCATATCATCTGCCATTGGAACCAAGAGAGAGGAGAAACAATCATGGCTGGCTGATTATATTCAACCTCTCACCTGGAATTGAAGGAACCAGCATTAACATTAATATATAAAACTTTAGAAACCTACTAGTGGTACCAGTATCTTCTTTATGCTGTTTGGCAATGTTCTCTTTTTCCCCCAGTGTGTTCTTTTAATTGCTAAACAAACTTCCATTTCAGAAAATTAAAGTAACAACTCCAGGAATGTACACATTTTTAGTTGTCCTTGGGCAACCTGAATTTTCACAGAACTAATCTCAGAATTGAAACTGAAATTCACAGCACAAAAATTGCCTAAGATCAACCATCAGATCAGGAGTTAATTATACCAATTCTAGAGCACCAAAAAAAATCTCATGTCTACTATATGCCCTATAGCATCCAATTCAAGACATATTCAATCCAAAAAACTTGAAGAATTACAGAAAGGTGTTCAAGACAAAGACTAAAAGTGTTTTATATATATAAATATATAAAATATATTTTATATATATATTACTGTTTTGTCTAGAAGCAAAAAAGAGACGGACAGATTTCATGTGTTGATTTGTGTAGGGAGTATAGATTAAGCTACTGCAATGGTCATTTTTTAAGTACAGAAGAAAAAGTATAAGTTATGGAGGAAACTTCTATGTTGATTACTGGTCTAATTTCCAGTACCTTATCCATCAAGCCACACAAGCACACACACCACACACACCCTTACATTACCTACGTATCTTTTTGATATTTAGTTTATACCTTAAGTGCGTAATGACTCAGGGTCCATTTTTTCAAAAATTATGCAAAAGACTCAAAAGGGAGATTTTTTAAAAAAGAGAGAAAAAGAAAGAGAAAGAAAGAGGAAGAGAAAGAGGGGGTTCAAATACATGTTCAGAATGGGAAAAACAAGGAATAATCAGGCCCTAAAGAAAAAGGGGACAGATGCTAATAATATAAAGTTAACCCTGACTTGAAAAATATTTTTTCTTGCCTCGTTTGTTCTATTGATAGGATACAGATGATCTTTAGTCCAAAATTCAAGGTATGGCTATTTTCTGATTATCAAACAAAAGTAGTAAGTATACCTTCCAGAAAATAATTTAGATACATAGATTTAATAGAATAATTTCATCTTCTTCAGAGTTTTCAAATTAAAGATTATAATCAACAAATAGAGCTTTATGCAATGTCTCATCTTTTCCCCAATGAGGCCTAAAAGAGGAAAGAATACTTGCTCCTAGCAAGCAAATACAACAAAATTATAATTAACAAAATCTTTGAACTACCAAAATTTGTGAGGGAAGGAGGATGATAAGAAAGTAAGAGAAATTACCAAATGTCAAACAAACAAGGCTATATCAGGGTTTTCAGGTTAGTCAAAAGTAACTTCTGGAATATGGTCTATGGTCAGCATAAGCAGCCCCATTATTTATATACCCTCCATAGCTCTAGAATTACAGAATAAACTTTTAACAATAAAATGAAAACCAAGAACATCATATTGTAAATATTATATTTCTCTCACTCACACACAATGTTGTATGAGACATTTACTAGTTTTAATATGTATCCATAGGATTAATACTCGTATGGAGTATAATGCAAAAAGTGCTGAACTAAAGAAATAAGTCTATATGAAAACAAAAGCACACATTTCTTAGGATTTAAAAATATTGCACATAATAAGGTTGCACAGAAATTACTGGCTGTTTTTACAAACAGAATGAGGTATTAGTCAATCTCTAGATAAAGATGAGTGCAAAGAAGAGGAACCACACACACATAAAAAATACATAAATCCATATAAGACTTAGAGCGCCAACAACAAAGAAAGAAATGTGAAATGATATATAAATTAGCTATAATTTCAACACTACAAAATCATTAGCCAGGGACCAAGCATGTAACAATCTCTTGGTAATATTTCAAAAGTTTTCAACTTTCTTTCAGCCAAATGGCTATGAGCAATCCAATCATTTCACTTATTCCAATTTTACTGCAGAAAGGTATGGTTCTGTGGTAAATATTAAATCATGCCTTTCTAAAATTTTCAGTGGAAAGATACTGCTATCCTTTGCTGAATGACTCAATTACAGTTTTGTGTACATTTAGCAACCCAAATCAGAGATGCCGCAGAGCATGCAATTTTAAATTAGCAAAGGTTTCACTGCAAAAACCATTCAAGTTCACACAATTTAAATCTACAATAAGTTTCAAAGTTTAACCTTTAAATATATATCAGGCAAACTCAATCTTTTCTTGGTAATAAAACTGGCCACGCAAGTAAGCCCAAGGGCAAGTAGAGAAAAAAGACCAGGCAGAATTATAGTATCTTTTTTAAAGAATCTTTCCTATCAGGGAAATTAATAATTAGCTATTTTCTACTGAGTGTTGCTGAATTTGTCAAAAACATTTAAATACATTTAATATCTATATCAAGTTAAGTGAAATCATGCACTTGTCAAAATAGTTCACAGAAAATTGTTGCATCAAAGGGTATTGAAGAAAAGTCAACTAGTTGGCTTTAGTGAGAACAGAAAATAGTGAACTACTGTCCTGAACAGTCAGTGTATGTAGTAACCATATTTCCTCTTCGTTGAGTGACAGTCCTGCAGTGCTTGCTAGATCCGTGGAATCTATTTTCAGTCTGTACTGTATGCCGATTGGTGGTGTCAAAACCACTAAAAGAAAACATTTTCTCCATATCTTCAAACATGTCATCAAACAGTCCACCTCCAAAAGAAAACTCCTGGAAATGATGTCTTTGTCTACTGGAACCATCCTGGCGTGTCTGGAAGTGATTCTCAAAATGCTTCTTGGACCGAGTGTTTTGGTTTTGACCAAAAAACCCAAAGTCTTTAAATAAGTCATCAAAATTGAAGTTAAATGATTGCTCAAAAGGACTTCCGTTACCTCTTTGTCCTTTACCATTAGTAAAAGCATTGTGTCCAAGTGTATCATACTCTTTTCGCCTATTAGCATCTGAGAGTGTTTCATATGCTGAAGAAAATAAAAATACTTTAGTAACTTAAGATAATGAAAATTGCATATACCCAAACCTCTTCAGATAAGTGAATTCAACTCTCTATTTTAAGGAAGAATTTCATACCACCAATAAAACCAAAACATTACAAACATAGGAAAAAAAGTTAAAATGAAAGTTACAAAAGGCAGGGCTTTTGTCCTACTTACTGTATAGTATCAACTGTCAGAATAATGCCTGCCCCTAGTAAATATCCAATAAATATTTGTTAAATGAATGCTACCATCACTTACAAATAAGCATGTGGGCAGCAATTATGCAGTTATTTTTCATATTATTTGGGTAAAAACATTACTTGTATTAAAAAATTTAATGGCCCAATATAACCAATCAAGAATTCAGATTTTTCACTTCCTTACTAGTTGAAGTGTTAAAGTTTATCTCCAACTCTCTACTCAATTACCTCCACCACCATTAGTTACTGAATTCTCAGGTGGTCCAATTTGTTTTAAAACTAGTCTTAAATCAAAATTTGTTTAATATTTTTCCTTCAAAGATAAATGTAGCTTTTAAGTATAGATCAAGTAAGAAAAAAAACAAAACATTTCAAAGTCTTTTAAAATTTTTTATACTTAGTATTTTTGTATTTAATCTCCATATTTGGTAAAAACTGTTCCGTAAGTTAGTTTCTAAGTTTTGGGTATCTAAAATTCCTTTTAACTTGGAAACAATAAGCAATTTCATACACAACAGAAGAATAAAGTGATACATTTTTAACAATTTAAGATCTATACAACAATAAAAATTTATTCTACCACTCAGCCATCCATCCTGGAATCAAAGTAATTGTGGTAGGAAGATAGTCTCAAGAATCTCACTTTATTTAAATGTAGACCCCATTCTGCCACCCATCATCGCAGTATCTCCAAATACATACACTTCTTAGCTATCATTCTCCCTTACTAGTTAGTATCTGTGAGACCTCAGAGATAGCCATTTACTTACCTTCTGCAATCTCTCTGAATTTTGCTTCAGCATCAGGGCTCTTATTTTTGTCGGGATGGTACTTCATGGCCAACTTGTGAAAAGCTTTCTTGATTTGGCGCTCTGATGCTGATTTTGGCACACCTAAGATATCATAGTAACTTTTTGACGCCAAAATTAATTCCGTTATCATTAAAATGCAGATTGCAAAGACGAAAACTGACTGGGGAGTAGCCATTTCTAAAATCCTAAAAAAGAAAAAAAAATTATCCATGAAGCTAATCTTAAGACTTTTTCTTTTAAAAGAAACCCAGTGGGGTGCCTGGATGGCTCAGTCCTTAAGCATCTGCCTTCAGCTCAGGTCATGATCCCAGATTCCTGGGTTGAACCCCGCATCGGGCTGCCTGCTCAGCGGGAAGCCTGCTTCTCCCTCTCCCATTCCCCCTGCTTGTGTTCTCTCTCTCACTGTATCTCTTTCTATCAAATAAATAAACAAACTCTTAAAAAAAAAAAAAAAGAAATCCAGTGAACTTTTAGGATACAAGGTATATTTAATGCAGTATCAACATGTTAAGCATATAATAAATATCCTGTGCTTGTTCCCATGTTATTTCATTTCACAGGTTTTATTATCTCTATGTTGGTTGTAACTTTTTTTTTTTTTTGATAGAGATAGACAGTAAGAGAGAGAATACAAGCAGAGGAGCAGCAGAGGGAAAGGGAGAAGCAGGTTTCCCACCAAGCAGGGAGCCGGATGTGGTGCTCCATCCCAGGACTCCCAGAACACTGGGATCATGACCTGAGCAGAAGGCAGACCCTTAAGACTGAGCCACCCAGGCGCCCCTGGTTGTAACCTTCTTAAATGCAAATGTTAATTCAACCAAATTAAGAAAAAAAATCTTTCTTCACTTTACCTTTTCACTAATACTCTGTGGTCATACACAGAACAGTAACAAAAGTATTCAATGACTTTTTTACCAACAGACACTGTGAAGACTTATCATTTGTAAACAATGTAAAAAGGGTGCAAAATCCGAATAATTTTTAAAAGGATGTCAATTTTCCTTTCAAGAATCCATATTCTAAAAGGATTAAAAATAAAAGTATTTACTTCAGGGGAAAAAAAGTACATTACCAAGATAAACAGCCCAGTATGTGTGAACTGGTAATCCTCCCTCCCTAAGAAAGCACCAACTTCAGCTTTCATTTCGGCAAGGTCAGCAAAGATTGCAAACAGAGAATCTCAGTTATCATATTAATATTGACAATATGATAGAATGTAATGATTTTTTAATTGTAAGATCCCAAATATTTAACCAAAAAACATGTATTAATGGGTTTTGTTAAAAACTCGTAATGGCGGGGCGCCTGGGTGGCTCAGTGGGTTAAAGCTTCTGCCTTCGGTTCAGGTCGTGATCTCAGGATCCTAGGGTCGAGCCCCGCAGCATCGGGATCTCTGCTGGGCTGGGCGCCTGCCTCCCCCTCTCTCTGCCTGCCTCTCTGTCTACTTGTGATCTCTCTCCCCTTGTCAAATAAATAAATAAATAAAACCTTAAAAAAAAAAAAAACAACCTCGTAATGGAATTATTTCTGCTAAGCCTACCAGAAAAATAAACTTTCATAGTCTAGACTTTAGATAAGTTAAATACTTATGTTCAAACTTCCCCGAAGTCATTTAAATATTTCCCTGACCTTAAATAAGTTTTACCTAAGAATTCAACTTGGAATTCTAGATAGTATAGATTTAATGACTTAGGATGCAAAACGAATGTGATCCTGTTTTTTGAACTCTGTACGAGGAGTTAACAACCTATGATGACATAACAAGGCTGACGAAAGACACTATGGTTTGTGGAAACTGCTTGCCTTCCTCTCCTGTGGCCTCTTCTGAGCATAATTAGCAGACGGATTCCTCCTTTCCAAAGAGTTACTCATACTCACGGGTACTAAAGATCAAGTACAACCTCCTCGTTTAAAGAACGCAAACCGAGCGAGTACTGTGGCCGCCAGCAAGACTGCAGGTACTTTTGTAGTCAAAGGGCGGGTCTAACACTGACAGGCACACTCCTGGTTTTAATAAAGCTTACTCCACAGCTCAAGTTTATTATCTGACACTTTTTTAGTAGGCCCACTTTCGTATTATACTGACTTCTCCCCAAGAGGGACCCATCGGACGGCGGCCTGGGCCTTATTCCCAGAGCCGACGGCCGGCTGGGTTGCACCGTCCAGCCTTCACCCCAAGACGACCGATACTCGTCCGGTCCGTCCAGGCACCGCCCTCACCGCTCTTCTCCGCCCGGAGGCCAGCCCTGGGAGGAGCTGTCCGACGCCCGAAAAAGCCGGCTGCCAACCCAAAACACAAAACGCCCTTATCTGTGGTTTGGTCATCTCCTTTTTCCTAAACCCTCAACAACACCATGCAGCCTGAAGCCCTTGCGACGTCCGTGGCGGACGCCGAGGCCAGGTCAGGCCACAAAGACCGGCCGAGGCCTCGAAGACGCTCAAAACACCCTCCCCGCGACCCCGGCCTCATCCCTCATCCGCACCCTCCGACTGCTGCTGCTCCTCCGCAGAAGAGGCGCCGGCAGACTGACGAGCGGCTCCACACCACCCGGCCCCTCGCCCGGGTCTCCGAGGCCTCCCGCAGCCGGCGCGCGCCCCAATCCCGCTCGCACACAGACCTAGCACTCCTCCAGTGGCCGCCGCGTCCCCTCTCAACCCGCTCCCCACGGGCCGGCGGCCGCTGCTGCCGCCACCTCAGGAGAAGACCTACACGAAACGCTTCCCGATTGGCTCCTGCTACCCCACCTGACCCTGGCGCCCTACGCGCACGTGGAAAACTGTTGTGGCCGCTCAGCCTGTGCATCACTTCCGGCCCCAACCTCCAGAAAGGGTGGTGCTGAAGCCAGCAGAAGCGGAAGTGAGTCGACGATTGCGACGCCTTTCCGCTCGGCCGATTCTAGCGCAGGCGCAGTGCCTCGTGAGGCCTGGATTTGCGCCTACATCTTGGCGAGGAGGTTCCCGGGCCCTGTCGCAGGCCCTGATTTGGGGGCGGGGGGGGTGGCCACCCGAGCGATGCCTCGGTATTGCGCAGCGATTTGCTGTAAGAACCGTCGGGGACGAAACAGTAAAGACCGGAAGCTGAGTTTTTATCCGTAAGTTGTCCCTGGAGCAGAAGCGTCAGCCTTACCTTTGGACCACGGTCCTGTGGCGTCTGGGGCTAGGGGTTTGAGGTGTCTGGAAATTCGGCCTCTGCACTCCCAGCGTGTTCCTTCACTGCGCCGGGGGAGGACGCGAAGCCTCGAATTTAGTTTACCTAGAAATGGGTCCTAACTGAGCAAGGTCACGGGGCTGTTGACGAGGTGTAGGGGCCTTTTGGGGGTGTTAAAGAAGCCCTTAAAAATGTGCAGTTTGGGTGGTGCAGCGTGGTTTTCGGAGTGTTTCCCCCACCTCAGCTGATCTCCTGTGTCATAAAGGGCGTTAACCACCACCTAAGGTACACCTCAAACCTGCCAAGCGGCAAGGTGCACCCAACAGTTAACCTGCTCCTTCTGTGAGGTTACACAGATGTTCCTTAATTACATTTTTCTCCCGAGGAAACTAAGGGCTTTCAGAAAGGTTATTGAAAGTTTTGTGAGAGAGCCGGAATTACAACCTATCTCCTGCTCAGGGCTCTCTGTATACTCTTCATTCGTACAGAGAACAGGGTAACTGTTGTGCCAAATTCCTACTGCCAGGAAATAGTTCCGTGAAACCACAGAAGGACTCGTTTTTATTTAGAAGAACAGGGAAACAGTATTGTGTAGGAATTTAGAGTCCAGGCTCCAGAGCCAGACTCCGTAGGTTCAAAACCTGGCTCCATTACTCTAGCTGACTGTCTTTCTGCAAATTATTTGAACTCTCTATGCCTAAGATCTTTCACCTGTAAAGTGGAGATATTAATCGTACCTACTTCATTTAGTGTGTAAATAGGTAAAGGAGCACTTGACATTCAGTACGTGCGTAATATACATGAGAATCAAAATATTTACAATACTCTATTTCTTTTTTTCTTGTTTGTGAAAATAATTCATTTAGCTCTAACCTGGTCGTCTTTTAACTCTCTCAGATTTTTTTCCAGCTATTTTGTGAGGTCTGTTTATCTTTAGACCAGAAGCTCTCTGTTGATGGACACGGTTGCTTTCCATTATCTTTTTTTCTTTTTTAAGATTTTATTTATTTATTTGACGGAGATCACAAGTAGGCATAGAGGCAGGTAGAGAGAGAGGAAGGGAAGCAGGCTCCCTGTTGAGCAGAGAGCCCAGTGTGGGGCTCAATGCCAGGACCCTGGGACCATGACCTGAATTTAAGGCAGAGGCTTTAACCCACTGAGCCACCCAGGTGCCCCTGCTTCCCATTATCTTAACTAGTGGGAAGAAACCTGATAACCTGAGATAATTCACATGAGGCAGTATTTCCAGGATTGTTTCCCAGTTGAAGCCCACAAGATGCAGAGAGGGGTTTGGGGGGAAATGCTAGTATCTCGAAAGCTGTGGCTCTTGAAGGTTTGTAACAAAAAAATCATGTGGAACTTGATTTAGCCCCATTTCCCAGATTTATTCCGCCTTCATTTTGGGGGGGGGGGGGGGAAGATGACCAAACCCTGACTCCCAGATTCTTTAAATCTTTCCATAGTTACTGTTTTTAAGGAGGGAAAAATGTCAGAAGAAGTCAATTATAAAGATTTTTTTTTCCTCAAAATGTAAATTTACTGAAACTGGATTTTTTATGAATTTTTTTATTTCCATGTGTAATCTGCCAAGTAAAAGTTGAATCAGTTTTATTTCCCTAATAGCACCAGACTTGAAGAATTGAATTTGTTAATACTAACACTGTAGCAAGCTGTACTGTATATAAATTTGAGAATTCAGCTTATGTGTGCTTGTAGTGTTGAGTTTATACTGTGATTATTTTGTGCCTTTTTGGGAATTAATAAGCTGGTGAAACAAAATTACTGAACAAAATGAACTACTGCAAAGATAACTAAGTTGTTTAGGAAACTTCCTATTCCAGAAGATTGCTTAGAGGTTTACCCGCTGAGAAAGCATTGCACTCTAGTTACAAACAAGGATATTCATAGAGTGATTTTTTTTTAATTGTTTGGTAATATAGTATATAGGAACAATAGAAACAATTTACAGACAGCATCCTTGTACTTGAGATCACATGTGAAAGTATTGTAAAGGGCATATTCTCAGTTTAGATGTAGCAGTAAATGTATGTACTTTTCTATGGCTAACAGAGTTCAGGTCCTCTGAAAAAAGCTCTTTGTCTTTAAATGCCTTTTCTGGTTATGTCTCTTATACTTATAACCTGAATTCTTTTTTTTTTTTTTTTTAAAGATTTTATTTATTTATTTGACAGAGAGAGATCACAAGTAGGCAGAGAGGCAGGCAGAGAGAGAGAGAGGGAAGCAGGCTCCCTGCTGAGCAGAGAGCCCGATGCGGGACTCGATCCCAGGACCCTGAGATCATGACCTGAGCCGAAGGCAGCGGCTTAACCCACTGAGCCACCCAGGAGCCCTATAACCTGAATTCTTGATGTGTGCAAGGTTAAGGAATTTTCAAACCATGTATGAATGTTGTATCTGTGGTGAGAACTTCAAAGATAGATCATTGATTTTTCCATATAAGGGTATTGGGGTTAAAAATTATTTCCTATAAAGTAGCCATACTCCCTTTTCCTTAGCATCTTATAAAGTTATCAATATTTGCCGGGATGGAGTAAGGCATGCTATTATAAACCATAAACTAAATGGCCGGGATTGAGCGGGAATGTGTAATTGCTGCTTTTTGTATGAGAAACCTTAAGTTACCATTTTTTTTTTTTAAATAGGATATTAGACTGTCTCATGAAATCATTGAAAGAAACAAATAGTGTTAACTGTTTAATACAGTTTTAACTGAAACCTCTTTAGACTGGTAGGAAAAAATTTTCTCTCAGAATTTTTCATTGGCCCAGTGTTGCCTATGAAATACGTTTCAGTGTGTTAGCACCAACTCTAAAGGTTATTGTTGGCACAGGAACAACACATGTAAAGAACTGTCTTACCTTTCTCTCTATTTTCTCCTTCATTTATTTCATGTTATAGAATATCTGAGTGTTCTTTATAACATGTTTAGTTCTTGTGTCAGTTTTCTTTCAAAACTTGAATTTTAGGGTTCTCAGTTTGGAAATACTAGACTAAATTACATATGGGTAGAATTGAGGCTGACTGTGGTAAAGTGAATAGAATATTAGTGGTTTTATAAGATTTAGTAGTGACTGTCAATTAATTCACTTGTTTGAACTAACAACTTATTTTTTAAATGTTAATAAGAGCCTAAAGTTCAGTACTTCCTTGAATTACAGACAGGACACCATTTCACTTGTGTGAGTATAGATTACATTTGAATGGCACTTTGTAATTTATATAGTTCCAGGCAAATATACAACAAAATAAAAATAAAATGTAATCCACAGAAAATATGAGTAGATTTTATCCTTTGTTGGAACACATATTTTACTCAAAGGGACTTGTTATATTTTACCAGCCTTTTTTTTTTTTTTTTTTAAGATGTTATTTATTTAGAAGGAGAGAGCGTGCATGTGCATGTGTGTGCAGGAGCAGGAGGAGGGGTAGAGGGAGAGAGAGAATCTCAAGCAGGCTCCATGCTCAGTGCAGAGCCTAATGTGGGGCTTGATCCATAACCCCAAAATCATGACCTATACAGAAATCAAGAGTCAGATGCTCAACTGTCTGAGCCACCCAGGTGCCCTTACCAGCCATTCTTCTGAAAAGCTTTGTCTTATAGCTTAGTCATCTTTACTGTAGAGATGATGTAGTGATGCCATGAAGATGCTCTTACATGGTGTGGATGGTTGCCTTGCTTTTTTGCAGCACTCAATGCACAGATTACCTATATATGCCGTCCTGGAATTTGCAAAAAATACAGCAAAGTTTTCCTTTTTTAATTTCAGGTTTCCTCTACATGACAAGGAAAGACTTGAAAAATGGTTAAAGAATATGAAACGAGATTCATGGGTACCCAGTAAATACCAGTTCCTGTGTAGTGACCATTTTACTCCTGACTCTCTTGACGTCAGATGGGGTATTCGATATTTGAAACAAACTGCAATTCCAACAATATTTTCTTTGCCTGAAGACAATCAGGTATTGGAGGAAGAACATAGAGGAGTGGGGGATAATGCTCAGCAGGGTGGTAGGTTGCAGGGTGGCAGGTAATGAGGTTAAGGGAGGGAGCGGGAAAGGTGACTGCTGGGAAAACATACTTAAAAAAGGAAGATTAATTTATACTTTCACTAAAAGTGTGGTAATTAAAAAAATTTAAACCATTAAAAAAATTTAAACTGAAGAACAAAAGATAACATATGTAAATCATTGAGTTATTAACATAAGTTAATGATCTAAGATTTTGTTACCAGTCTTTGAGTGATCTGAAATATTTCCATCATGTATTGAATATGCTTAATACTTTTTAAAAAAACACTTTAAAGTATGTTTGGGTTGTTAATATGCTTAGAACTATTTTTTAACTGTGTAAATTGACCAATATACTGCTCAAAATTATAATTAAATATTCAGAACTGACTAATAACAGAATGAGGTTAGTGAGGACATCTTTAGAATTTGAAAATGTTATTTTCTAGGAAAAAGACTCTTCCAAAAAAAAATCTCAGAAGAAAAAATTAGATGATGAGAAAGAAGTGTGCCTAAAAGC